TATTTTTTATTCCATAGTAAGGGCAATTCATACAATACATTTAAACTGAGCTACTTTAATACCATCTCCGAACTTTCTACCAGGACTCTGCTGTTCTTCGGCTGGTTCTTCCCTGTATACGTTGATTGACAGATGTCTCGTCCAGTCAGCGGTGAGTAATCCCAAACCAATGGCGCTGTCTCAAACTATACCTACCTTTTCCGGTTTGTCTGATTTGTCGTTGTGTTTTCTGACTTGTTAATTTGTTTTCGGATTTGCCGTTGTGTTTTCTGACTTGTTATTTTGTTTTCGAATTTGTCATTGTGTTTTCTGACTTGTTATAATGTTTTCTGAATTGTTGTTGTGCTTTCTGAATTGTTATTTTGTTTTTTAGACTTGCATTTGCGTTTGTAATTTGTTATTTTGTTTTCAGAATTGTGATTTGCTTTGCACTTCTCTGCTACCGTACTTGATGTTTGAATAAGTGCAGCGTTTTCTTTACTCAAGAAACACCATGTCTGTAAAGGCTAATATAGTTTTTTGTGTGTGTCTGAAGAGCGGAGAAGAGTGCTTTTGCCGTCTAGTTGTAGCCAATAGGCCTTTACTTTTGTTCTGTTTCAGCTCGATCTCAAGGCAGTACGTGCCATAGTCACGAAATTTATAGTTAATTGATTCGTGTTCAGTTATAAATATTGTATTAAGTATAGAAAATTGTTACAGATGGTAAACAAAATCTCGTTATCTGGTCTCGTTATCTATATGGTTTTTTCTTTCATCTAAGCGCCCATTCAGTCTATTGTTCTTAATGTCTTGTTTGCATGCTCCATTCATGTTTTATGTTTTGTTAATTTTAAATATGGATTAAATATATCAATAAAAAATGCAACATTTAAAAGTAGCATTTTAATTTGAGTGTATTCAACCATTCTCTGTAATCCCTTTTCACCGAAATAGCACTAATTCTGGTACAGTCGTTCTAATGACTGACAAAACACAGATCTCCGTCATTCGCTGGTCAAAAACCAACTCCATTTGATCTTGATTTTCATAAAATGTTAAGTGTCTGATAAAGCCACAATACCAACTCTGATGACACAGTGTTTAATTATATTTCTATCCTTTTTCCTATATTTCAGTGCTTAGTGGTGTGCCATTGGATTTTTTTATTTATCAAAACTGTGCCCCCCGCGATTTACGCCACTGCCATACCCTATGGTTTTGTGAAACGCTGCCACTGGGTTGAACTGATATCAGCTTCATTGTTTACAAGGGAGCGTCTTTGCTCACTTCTGTATATTTCATTCATAATTTGAGTAAAAGTTGTATTTTTCTTGCTAAGTACACACTGAAAAATCTTAGGAGTGAAGACTGCATTAAATTGCAGGACTGAATCTGAAAATAACCATAACAACGGATGGGACAAAACCAATCTGATGTGTCAGAAAAGATCTGTGCATTAAGTCTTACAGACCGGCCACTTGTTCTGTTACCTGTAATGTGTTTATTTTATTACTTTCATTTGATCTTTTTAATACAATGTTTTCATAATTGAACAATATTTGAACATTGACATCCCTAATCCTTAGTACTATGTTTTTTATTGCTCAGTATTTGTGCTGCACTGAGACTGTAGATTCCTGTTCATTCTTGGTAAATCGATACCTGAAGTTCTTACATATTTCAGTTTTGAAAGTTTTGAAAGTGTCTCTTCACATTAGCAGGCTCATCACATTCTATTGTGTTTTTGTTTGCTCATCTTGTTTAAATGTCATGTGTGTTGGTTTAGATCTGTATTTTGCTTGTTTTTTTCACTATATGTTAGAATGAATACAGTTATTTATTAATTACTTGTACATTATCATTCACCACAGTTGATCTGATGTATAATATTTTTTATGTTCAGTGTTGTCGTAGCACATCCACACAGGAGAACAGATACATCAACTGTTTTCAGGTAACCTGTCAGATTTTTTTTTTTTAAGTCAGTGATCAAAACTTGTTTGCTTTTTTATACCTCATAAGACTTTTACTATTTAGACATGGTGGCTTGTAAGATTGTGCACCTCACTACATAATATAAAAAGCATAATATTTATTATATTCCAACAGTCTAGATGTTTTTGTTTGTCAATTTCAGTTGAACTATGCCTTTAAAAAGTATTTAAAATAATTCAAAGAGTTGTCATGACTAAAGTGCAATAATGTGGTCATTTAATTTTCCAGCCATGAAGTCCTCAGCACATTTAGATCAAATCTGATGAAGAAGTTTGAGTGTCTGTATGAGGGAACAGCAAAGCAGGGAAACCCAACACTCCTGAATGAGATCTACACAGAGCTCTACATCACAGAGAGTGAGAGTGGAGAGATCAGTAATGACCACGAGGTGAGACAGATTGAGACACAATCCAGGAGAGCAGCAACAGAGGACACACCGATCAAATGCAGTGACATCTTTAGAGCTTTACCTGGACAAGACAAAGCCATCAGAGCTGTGCTGACAAAGGGAGTCGCTGGCATTGGAAAAACAGTCTCTGTGCAGAAGTTCATCCTGGACTGGGCTGAAGAGAAAGAGAATCAGGATATCCAGCTCATATTTCCACTTCCTTTCAGAGAGCTCAACTTGATGAAGAACAAAACACTCCGTCTTTCAGATCTTCTTCATATCTTTTTCCCTGAAACAAAAGGGAAAGAGAATCAGGACGTCCAGCTCATATTTCCTCTTCCTTTCAGAGAGCTCAATCTGATGAAGGGCAAAACACTCTTTTTCAGTCTTTCAGATCTTCTTCAGGTCTTTTTCCCTGAAACAAAAGAAATAGACATTTTCAGTGACAATCATTCTAATATGCTGATTTGCTGCTCAAGAAAACTTTTTTAATTATTATTATTATTATTATTAAAGGTCCCATATTATCAAAACTGAAATTTCCTGGCTTTTCTCATGATAACTGAGGTCTAGGTGCTATGTAACTACCATATAAATACAATTACAAATGATTATATATAAATTGTCAGTTTGTTGTTTTATACACATGCACACAGACATTATTTCATACGACATAATCGTGAGATGCAAGAAACATTAGGGTGACCATACGTGCCATTTTTCCAGGACACGTCCTTGCCAGGATTTGTTTTGGCTTTATTTTCCTGTTTTCATGCTTGCTGAAGGTAATGATCGAAAAGTAGTTTGACCAATAACATGCAGGCATTGTACATAATGGACCAATCATGGTGTGTGAGAAGGTGGGATCTACGGTCAAAGCGATGCAATTTACGCGTACATATTAGGTGTGTTCAACTTAAAAGCAACGCGGCTCAGACCGATTTATGGCAAGAAATCTGTAGACGCGCCCATAACAACAAAAGACAATACTTTATTTAACCTTTTCTGATAAGAGGTGTTAGCTGCAAATGCGAGCATTTTTGATGATCGTTTCTGTCCAGTCTGCTTGTTTTATCGCGTTTAACCACAGCTGTCGTTGTGTTTTTTGTCTGGCAGTGGCAGCAGATATGCGATCAAATGTCTAATTTGAGGCTGTATTACGTCGATTCTGGCACCCAACATCACAACAAGATGATATTTTAAGCTATATTGTCGCAATCGTATGTTTAATGTCTTCATGTTTCCAAACGTTTCTGTTTTTCTGAAAACAACTGTTTTCATACAGCTAGCTGGACGCTTTTGTCCATATTAGGGATTTCCTCATACGACTTTCTGCGTGAGAGCGCCCTCCGGCTTCGAGCATGAATGAAACATACACTGCACGGAGTGTTTAGCGCTCCGTGATGTTCATCTCGCCTTATTCTGGGTCCGAATAAAACATCAGATCATGCACAGACTATCCTGTCTCTTTGAATTTAAATCTATATTTATTCACACCGGCTCTTGAAAACCTCTATGCCAACACACTTGCCCGAAAAAGTGCGGGGGACGAATTTACGTGATATTAAAAGTGGGGGGGGACACGTCCCCCGCGTCCCCCGCGTAATCTACGCCCCTGGGTGAGCACTACCGCCATCTCAGCATCAGCCTCAGACTGAAACATGGCACCCGGAAGTGCAGTTCCAGCTGTGTCATCTGCTTCAAATGGTTCCAGCCCGCTCTTTGCTGCTGCGATCAACAGCTCATCCTCCTCATGAGCCTGAGGTTACTTGCGATCTTTTAGAAAAGAACGCGAGCCGCAAGCCTATGGGCATGTCCTCACAAGAAGTACATGAAGCATCCACAAGGGCTGCTTCAGCATGGGCCCAGCTCAGTACTCTCACTACACTTATCTGTGTATGAGGAAGGGAGAGACTCCTGCCTGTGCCGTAGATCCAATGACGAGGAGTAAGAGAGGTGAATGAAATGCTGCTTCTCAGAGAGCTGCATCAGCTCCGAAGAACAGAACGAGTGAGCAAATGCCTATTTATACCTGGGCATCCAGGGCATGGCCAGCCATGCAAATTTTGCTTGCCAATTTCATTGGCCTTTTCTCAATGTCAGAGGTGTTTGACACAACGTCAAAGTGACTGGCTGAAAAGGAAATGAAGAACATGCTGGATTCATTCTTTCTGTTCGTCACGTTCATATTTCTGCAGTAGTTTTTTTTAAATATATTGTTTTAATTGTGCAAACACATAAATCAATGCTACATACACTGAACAGCCATAACATTAAAGCCACCTGCCTAATAACATGTAGGTCCCTCTCGTGCCACCAAAACAGAAAAGAACGTGAGCAAACTCAGTTTTTGGGCTCAAGAAGGGTGCTTGGTTTTAAGCAGGATTTGTAGCCAAAGTAAGTTACGCTACACATCTACCCTATTCCAAAGCAGGTTTTATTCTGGGTTACAGATCTCAAACTGGACCAATCAGCTGTAAGCAATGATATACATCCCTCACTCCAAATTAAAGCAGTTTACAGTGAAAAAATTTTAAAGGGGTCCTATTATGCTTTTTCACTTTTGACGTGACGTGACGTGACATGTGGCCAAGTTTGGTTACCAATACTAGGAATTAGTGCTCTGCGTTTAACCCATCCTAAGTGCACACACACTGCAGTGAACACACACCCGGAGCAGTGGGCAGCCATTTATGCTGCGGCGCCCGGGGAGCAGTTGGGGGTTCGGTGCCTTGCTCAAGGGCACCTCAGTCGTGGTATTGAAGGTGGGAGAGAGCGCTGTACATTCACTCCCCCCACCTACAATTCCTGCCGGACTTGAGACTCGAACTCGTTTGGGTTACGAGTCCGACTCTCTAACCATTAAGCCACGACTTCCCCAATTTTGAATTTTAGTCAGTGTGTAGTGTGTATGTTTGGGCATAAAAAAGATCTTCAAATTTACAAATGTCAAAGTCCACTCCAAAGGGAGAAATTTCGTTTTTAAAAAATCCCTTTTCAAGAACTAAAACGAACAGCTCGTTTGTACTACAGCGTTTGTTTTCCGGGTTTTGTGATATCACAAAGCGGCCCATTAGAATATCATTAAAATAATTCCCGCCTACGGAAATTCGAATGATTGGGGGGTGGGGAGGGGCGAGGTCGTGGTTAGAAGGCTTGGTTGAGTGCATCAGACGAGACAATGAGACGAAGAAGTGCTGCTGTAGCTTCAAGTTTTTGCAAATTATTACACATGCACCTGAATGATTATGTTTGTAAATATGTATGTTACAATTATGAAAACGTTTTTATAATATCTGATAAAGCAGTGTTTTTTTGAGCGGAGCGCTGCTTTGTGTACAGCCGTTACCGGGGAAACATTGATCTCTGCCACTCCAACAGCACCTCCTGCTGGCAGAGAATGAGTTTGCATATTTGTGCCGCCTGGGAAACACTGGACTATGGTATAAGTAAATTCAACTGTATAACAGTTTCACTGCAATTCATGTTATAATGTTAGAATTAAATAACAATAAAAATAATACATATGCACTTATCTGTACATAGTAAATGCAGTTATTTTTAAGCGGTTGTTGACATCCTATCTAAAACGTGATTTAGCCAAAAAAAAAACAATAACGTTACCACTCTAATATGTCTTGCAATATCCGTGCGTGCAAAGGTTCTGCGCGATTATCTTGTTCAATATTCTCTGGGTCTGAATCCGACTCAAATTGATATGGCAATATTGACTCCATCCTTAACTAAACTGGAGCAGACGAAACTTGCTGCTTTGGCAAGGGGCGGGGCAGTACTAAAACACCGTCTAAGCTGTTCGCCAATCACAACGCACTGGGACAGCTAACCAATCACATCACATTTCGTTTTTTCGGAAGGCGGGCCTTCATCAAACCCGGAACTAATCGAGCCGTTGGGCCAGGATGGGGAGAAAGGTATTGTAATAATGTAAATTATTAAAAAAATAATGCGTTTTTCGATCCACCAAGCACGAGAGCATGTTCTAGTACACCCCCAAAACAAATTCAAGACAATGTAAAAGAGCATAATAGGACCCCTTTAAACCAAAATTGGCACTCTTTTACTGCTAATTATTTATTATACTTATATTATATGAATTATAATCATGGGTGCACATAAGTAGTCCGCATGCGCAACCAAAATTAGAAATGCGCTGTGTAAATTTGTTCAGAGTGCGCGTTTGCGTACCGACATGGTTGACAGCTGTTAATGCACAATTACCATTTTAGATCGACAAACTGTACTGTATAAGATTTCTATTCAAACTGAAAGCATAAATCTAGGCTACCCGCTAACATTTTCAAAGCACAATGCAAAACTATGACATTTCATTCAGTGACGCTCTACAATCGGCGGCGCTAAACCCGGAAGCGCATACTTGCTGCCAACCCGCCAAAATAAAAGCTTGCTGATTTTAAGTTTGAAAATGAAAAATGAAAATAATTCAAATTAAAAATAATAATTAAGGTTCACATTAAAATAATAATAAAAAAAAAAAAAAAAAAATATTAGCATTTTATTTTTAAGTTTACTATAAAATAATTGTATTTGTATTTAATACTCCCTTTTTATTTTAAAATAAAATATTATTATCACACTTTATTTAGTTTATTATTTTATTAAAAAAAAAACTAAATAAAGTGCAATAATATTATCACTATTATTAATTTATTTGTTATAGTTATATTTGATGGGTCACACCATTTGCCATGTGAGGACCAAACCAAATCTCCAGGTTCTCATATGAGAACCAGGCTGAAAACCGTATGTGCACACCTGAATATAATTATTTATAATTCATATAATTCTTTCATGTTTATTATATGAACTGGCAATTAATATTAAACTTTCCATTTAAATTATTTTAAATACATATTACATATAAATAAGCTTTAATATATAAATCTTTCAAAATGACTAAACTTGCATATTTTATGTATGTAGCTGTTTGTGAAACTATAAATGATTAAATTCAAATTAAGAGTCACATATTTTCTTTCTGCTGCCTTCTCAAAATGTTACTGCAGCAGCAGTGCTTATTCCTGCCTTGTAAATGCATTTAAATTCTTATATTTTTAATAACAACATCTCTTAATCTTCAGCAGAGAAGTGAATTATGCAGACTCCTGTGAGAAGTGAATCAAACTGATCACACTCCATGTTCCGTGTGATTGGCTGTTTGCTGCACATGTCACACTTTCAGGTGCATGCGCAATTGAGTTAATCACAAACTCTGAGTTGACAGAGAACGTTTATATTGAGACCTCTGAATCTGTCATTGAAAGACTTATTGGAAGTTTTGTTCATACATCAACTGAAAACAGCATAGACTAAAAGGTTGATTCTTGGGATGTCAGAATCAATATCAGTGCATCAGAATGAGAATCTAATAAAATTGATCATTCATTATTTTCCACCCAACACTAATCTGAGCTGAGAGAGTGAAGAGTGTGTCATTGTTCTCTGCAGGTTGTGGGATTGTGGTGTCACAGCTGAAGGTTGTGCTGCTCTGGCTTCATTTCTGAGCTCAAACCCCTCACATCTGAGAGAACTGGTTCTGTCTTGGAATAATCTACGAGATTTGGGTGTGAGGCTTCTCTGTACTGGACTTAAAGATTCTCACTGTAAACTGGAGAAACTGTGGTAAGATCATCTCTCTGATAGTCACACACGTTTTTGTCCTCAGTAAGACGTGTCCTTTAATGTAAATTCTAAAATCAGCTTGGAAAATAAATGTTCAGTAAACACACTAAATCTCAGCACAAATGATCTCATTACACCTTGAATGTCTCTATTCAGTTCATCATATTACTATTCAGTTTATAAGCTGCAAAAGACCAAGCATGACAGTTATTATATCTCATTTAACTGTTCAGTCCTGAAGCACATGACAGTTTCAAACAGCACCATTGAGCATCAACATTCATAAATCTCATTCTATCAGCAGCAGTATGTGGCAGTGCTTGTCATTATATCTCCACTTCTGCTCTGAGACCAGAATCAATGACAAACTACAGACACTTCAACTACAGTTCACATTTTGTCATTCTCTACAGGTTAAGAGATTGTGGCATCACAGATGAAGGTTGTGCTGCTCTGGCTTCAGCTCTGAGATCAAACCCCTCACACCTGAGACATCTTAGCTTGTCTGAGAATAACGTAGGATGTTCTGAAGTGCAGTTACTTTCTGACCTAAAGGATGATCCACATTATAAACTGGCGGAACTATACTATTGTGAGTATATTTTTATTTAAAGGTCATATGATGCGATTTCAAGTTTTCTTTTCTCTTTGGAGTGTTACAAGCTCTTGGTGCATAAAGAAGATCTGTAAAGTTGCAAAGACTAAAGTCTCAAATCCTGAATCAGCGACTGTAAGTATGTTTTGTTATTAGTTTAAGTATTTGCTATTGACTGTTCAAATGCGGAGTTTTGCGCAGCGCAGAGTAATGCGTCGTGTGTGTGTGTGTGTGAGGGGAACAGGGTCACATCACAGGAGGGTGAACTGCCTGTCAGAAATCATAGCACGTCAGCTGTCTTAACCGCGGCTTGTGTACTGCATCATCACTGTGTCTGTCACGTGACTCTGTTGCCCTTTCGGGCTTGAACTGATGGTAAAACTAACGACATTATTAACTGTCTCGATATTTACTTTGAAAGCTGAAGCGATTATGGTAAGGGGCGTTACATTTCCGACGTGCTTGTGATGTTCGGCCAATCACAATGCACTGGGTCAGCTGGCCAATCAGAGCAGACTGCGCTTGTCAAAGGAGGGGGCTTTATTGAAAACGACGTGTTTGAGAGAGGCGGGGCATAGAGGACCTACAATAATGTACAGTATTTGAATAATAATGTGTTTTTTGAACATTAAAGCATGTCAACATATTCTATTACACCAAATACACAAAATAATGATCTTTAAAATAGCATTAAAATAGCACCCCTTTAAAGCTTTTTTTTTAATTTAAAACAGGCCTCATGTGTGTGTAACTGGAGAATGTATTAATTCAGCTCCACTTTAGTCTCTGTAGTTTAAATTTGTATTTAATGAGAGTTTAATTATTACATTGTCTCTGTGTGTAAATTATCAGTTTTTCATTCATATCATGAATATTCTAATATCTCTGGCTGTGTTTTTCCTCTGAAATGGATCTGCTGATGTGATGTGACGGCAGTAATGTCTCATACTCATATGTGACTGTCCGTGTGTTTTATTGTAGGACTCTCAGTATTTAGACGTCAGTCCAGTTTCCTCAGAATCAGCTGCTACAGAGACACACAGTCACACGATCAACAGAGACTCAAGACACAGAGACACACAGTGATCACTGTGATTTGTGACTTTGTAATGTAATTTTTCTCTTTTTGCAGGTATTTGTTTTTATTATGAAATAGCTTTTATAATGATCTTACACTTTTGCTAAAATAAGATTGTAATATTTGAAAACATTCTCTATGCATTTGAGGTATAGGTGAAAGCATTTTAGATTCAGGGTTACTGAGGGGAGGAATTGCTTTTCTTCTGCCTTACCAGCACAAAAAATGCAAATTATTTCAGTATTTTTTTCTAGTACATTGTCAATTTGATGTTTGATGATCAAAACACACACACACACAAAACCTTTATTATTGCCATAACAGTGTATGCATTTAAAGAATTAGCAAAGCTATTAACATTTACTATTATTGACAATTTACGTAAATAGAAATGTTACAGTTTGATCTCTTTTCCTTGTCAATTTCAATGACATTTGGCATTTTATAATATTTTATATACTTGATGACTTATATTAATGAACGATGTACTTCTAAGAGTATTCTTCTAAGAGTACTTCTAAGACTCTCCAGTTAATAAGAACCCACTTGTCACAATAATTACATTCCTCCCCACTTATGCAAAACAATCTATTAAGGTATAATATTGTAAGTATGGTGGGATTTGCTGTCATAATATTTTAGGGAAAAAACGACATTCAAGGGGCCTTATTGTTCCCTATCATAGAGAAATATTTAAAGTTGTTAAACGCGCAGAGAGGAGATGGGCAGTCACACTAATAACAGAGGAGGTTAATCACACATGCAGAGAAAGATACGAAGAGTCTGATTATTCCAGACGTTACAAGCACTACAATAGAGAGCTGCTCTGAGGAGGAAATAGCTGTGCTGCAGCACAAGGTCATAGATCCATAATCCTGTGCTGTGCGACGCTAGATTAAAAACTCTCTGTTTTGATTAAGAAAGCAGGGTTAGAGGATTACGGTCCAGTGAACAAAAATGAAAGCGGTCTTATACTCAATCCCAGAATTCATCAAAAATACAAACCTCAGACTGTAATCTCAACCGCAGATTAATGCAAAAGCTCCTTTCAAGCTTCTGTGCAGCTCAAACTCATTCAGCAGAAGAGATGCTCTGTGGAAAAAGCATCCTACACTACACCTTTACCCTTCTATGGAAGCCCATTTCTGCCAAATAAGAAAAAAAAACAAGCTTTGAAAAATCTGAATTATGAGATAAAGTCATAATTATAAGCTAAAAAGTCAAAATTATAAGATAAGTCATTATGACATAAAAAGTGAAATTTTTGTCACAATTATGTCATAATTACAATTCAGTCACTTTTGACTTTCAACTTTTCTAATTTATTTCATAATAATGACATAGTATTTCATAAGTTTGACTTTTTGTCATAATCACGACGGCCATACTTTCGACTTTTTAATTCCATAATTTGTCATTTATTTCATAATTAGGAATTTTGATGTGATCATTCAGTCATTTAACTCATAATGACAGTATGTCATAATTTTGACTATTTATGTCAATTACTTTTTTATCTCATAATTAAGACTTGGTGTCTAATGATTGATTTTTTTTTGTCATTTTGACTTTTTAACTCATAATTTCGATTTTATTTCAATTATGACTTGAATTTTTATCTCATAATTATAATTTACCAAAGCATAATATTTTCTTCTCTGATGGAAATGAGCTTCCATACTATTCCCTTGTTCACTAACTAGACCAAAAAACATGTGAAAATTAGCCTATATCATTTCCTTTCATAGTTGATAAAAGTTGATGAAAAAAAAGTTTTGTAACCCCAAAAAGTTTTTTATACCAAAGAAAAATGTTTAAACATGTTTGCATTAGATCAAGTATCTGTATCTGCACTCAATGTTTCCTTGATTTCTTTTAATTAATTTTTTTTTTTTTTACTTTTTTTTGATTTTTGTCCCTGACAGAATAAATAAGTCAAAAGCAGAGAAAAAACAAGTGTGTAAATTTGTACCCAGTTTTGAGGAGGTTGATGTGTTTGTTTCGCCTTCAGGATCTTCACATGGACAAATTCAAAAGGTCTGAAAAGGGTGAAAGAAATGAGAGCAAGACTTTTTCCATTCAGTGTTCTTTCACGTAAAACCCCCAGCACCTTTGGAGGGAGGCAGAAATCACACACACACTGTGCACAAGACATCTGATCTGATCTTCATTTGCATGGAATCATTTCCCAGGTCTCTTATGAATTCAGAGATTATTCTTTTGATGGGTCGAGCCCTGAAGCCAGCGCTCATAATAATATGGAAATTGTGAAACATGAGAAGTGAAAAACTGACAAAGACTAGCACATTCACTACAGAGTATATCCTCTACCTGTGGAGAGATGTCAAGCCCTCAAAGAAGCTCCATAGTACCTCCATACAGTCACCTGATCTTCAAATATTCAGAAAAAACTTGTAAAGGTTTACAAGAAAGCAATAGTTTACCCAAAAGTGAAAGGTTTCAGTCACCAAACAGCAGTGGTAATGAGTGCTGAAGCATTTGGGACAAAAGCAACAAAGCTATTGTATGGCTTGAGAAATATTGACTTGAAATATTTAGCATAAATCATGTGAACTAATTTCATGATGCTTTATTTTTTATTATATATATATATATATATATAATTTTTTTTTTTTTTTTTTTTTTTTGAGATTGAAAGCTTAAATCACCATATGAACTGAAAACACAACAAATTTGGAACAAAATGAGGTAAATGACGATTTTCATTTTTGGGTGAACTTCTCCCTTAAAGCTGCAGTACGTAACTTTTGCCTCTTTATCGCCATCTCTGTTTGAAACATAAAAACGCAAGTTACTCGCGGAGTTGCTTCGGCACTGCTCCTGTGCGCGGATGAATTGGTGATCACCACAGCACACATCAGAGCGCATCTGTCACTGCACATCCACATATGTCCCACTAGGCATATATCTGGAAAAAATGTAATCTGAACAAGTAACATTTATGCAGCAGAATTGCTCTGACGCATAGCCAACAGAAAAGAAGTGCCACTTACCGCACTGACCACAGCAAAATGACAAACACAACAAAGGAAGCTCAATACCTATCTGAATCAAGCGAACAAGTGCTCTAATGTTAGCTAGATGCCTGTTGAGCCACTGAAATGACTTACCTGTTCATCTCTGCGTCAGTTCTGAATCTCTTCAGATCGCCGCTTCTTAAAAGGGTGGGTGATTGCGATTTCACTTTTTTAACGTTAGTTAGTGTGTAATGTTGCTGTTTGAGCATAAACAATATCTGCAAAGTTACTAAACTGAAAGTTCAATGCAAACGGAGATATCGTCTTTTAAAATTCTGGCAGTTTAATGCCTACAAAAACGGCTGGTAGGGACTACAACATGTTACTTCCCGGGTTCGTGACATAACAAACCCAGATAAACCCCGCCTTCGGGAAAAGGCAGCAAAGGGGGCGAGGCCTGCGCTGCTTTAGAGAAGAGGAAGAGAAAACTAGAGGTGCACGTAAAAATCTATTCATATATGAATCACGATTCTGTCTTCTAACGATTCTAATAGATTCACAAGTTTCAAAATCAATGTTCTAAAGCAGCGGTTCTTAACACTGTTCCTCGTGTCCCCTGCTCTGCACACGCTCTGCATCTCTCTCTCTCTCTCTCTCTCTCTCTCTCTCTCTCTCTCTCTCTCTCTCT